TTTAAATAAAAGCAGTAAAGCTTGCGTGAGAAGTCAGAGCTTCCCAAAAATCTCAAAGGGATTTATGTCATTCTTTTACTCATCTATATGAATCTTTTTAAAGCACTTGAGGTTATAATTTCATATTAATTTTTCTCTCGGATATTTTTCTTGCATCTATCGACTTATTTAATTAACAATACTTTTATCTTAATCATCCTGTAAATCATCCCCTTCATTAATATCAACTATGTATAATAATCCATTGTTCATATTTGATTTATGTAACCGTTACCAGATAACGCAATAAAGTATGTTTTTTGTTGCAAAAAAGAGTAGTAAAACTATTTTTAATAGTCATAAATGTTTATTCATAACAAGTCCATTATATTGATCATGTTCCTTGATATTATAATCCATATGAAGTTTAATAACAAATAGTCTTAATATACTATATCTTCATTATCAATTATATAATATGCAAGTTAAATTGTTGGTATTTTCTCAAAATTTATTATTAATTTTAAGCTACAGACTTTTTAACTGTATCATTTAATCTGGTCAATGTAGTATATGTATATATTCCAAAAAGAATGAATGTCTAATCAATATAAAGATTTTTATCAATAATTATTAATATACATTTGATTGAATTAAAATTATTTATAAATAAAAAAAATTTAATTAATAGTATTCATAATATACTAAACATAATGAGGTATATGGCATTTTTAGGAATTATAGTTGATAGAAACACTCATTACTTGTACGTAATATGTAATCAATATATTAAGTATTAATAATTTGCGTAAGACAATTTTTACTAATTTAGTCTTTAGAGACTCATGAAAATAAATTATGGTGTAAATATTATAAAACAATACAATATTTTTTTTTGTTCGGCTCCAACTCACAAAAGTGTTATTCAACGAATTATTTCACCATAATATTGTATATTTATAATAGTATATATTATTTAATCAATTAATATTGTTCCGTCTAGTATTTAAAAATAAATGATTTTTTCTAGTGTATCAATACGAACGAAAACTTTGGTATTCAAATTAGAATTAATGGATTTTAAATGATCCGGCAAATCGAAAATTGAGCTAAATAAAATCATTAATGTTTAGGTAGATTTTCAGACCTTCAGTCTCATTAGTCCTCTCAAGTTGAGCAAAATTGTTTGAGCAAAATATCAAGGTCACCGTACTCTCTCAAGGATTTGACTCTTCTGTAAAATCCCCTCCAACAGTTAGTATAATTAGATTGAATGTTCTTATAGTTATCTGTACAAACTGACAAGTCAAAAAGATAGCGAGATGTATTATTATTAGTCAAAAGACATTACAAATAGTTGATAAAGTATTTACGTAGCCAATTAATTTCTTTCTCGGTCTCTCATTCAATTAATATTTGTCAAAAAAATATCTTTTCCCCAAATAATTCAATTATCTGAGCATGATACATTTAATTCTCGACAAACTGTAACACAATGCTCGGTAGAAGTTTACTCGGACTGTGCGTAAAAGAGCCTGAATTGCTGAGTCATAAATCTCCTCTCTTTAACTTTGGTCACGTAATTTTAGCTCAAATTTTACAAAATTGGTTTTACTTTAATGACATGATTATTTATTTACTTTTTTTTATACTAAACTGAAAATAAATTAACAAAAAATGAATTGATTTCTATCACGTTCTTCTATAAAGATACATAACTTCTGTCATTTTTTTAATCTTATTTTTACTCAAGTACTGAACAAACTCTTTCTTACAGAATCTTAATTATATAACTCTTCACTCAAGTCTATTTTGTTCATTAAATTTTTAATGTAAAATTTCTGCATACAAACTATGGATTTTAACATACTTTAATTTGTTGTGCATCAATTTCCAAAAGGGGTCGGCACAGAGATCAGGCATATGTGACACAACTGACCAAAAATAATCATCAACTATGTCTGTTAGGTTTTGGCACGTAGTCTTGCTGATGTGACACTGCAGGTGTTTGTATATTTATCGTAAATATTATTATTACTGTTCTTCAGTATGCCTAAACATTCAACTCTTAATCACAATTATCGAATCGATCATGTATTCGAATACATTAAATTTAGTAACATATGTATGCTAACTGTTTGTACCATAATCACTGCTAAGAAAAGTTTTTATACATCTTGTCATTACATATTTATGTTTAATACAAATGACATGCTTTATTTACATCGTAAAAAAATTGATATCCATTCTAAAATATAAAAAGTAGCATTTTCAGATGAGATTTTTAAAAGCTATAAAAGGTGAATTTAAAATTGATGATCATCATTTTTTGAAAATGTCTTTTATATCAAAGCAACAGTAATGATAGAGATAGATTCAACTATTCAAAAATCGTCCATTAACGGGTTTTTCATAAAGGATGAAGAAGTAAAAATTTCTCTGTGATAAAATGGAAAATTTCCTTCATATCAGTTAATGTAGGAACTCAATGAACTGGGAAATAATACCAAAAATAGTAGTATCTCTCTTCTCAATTTCAACATAACTTAATATTAATTTTACTATTTTTAGATGATTTTTGAAAGTTGTGATTTATTCTAAATCTAACAAGTATATTCTACTGAATAGAGATTACCAAAGTAATCTTTTCATTTATTTTTAACAAATGATTTATTGCGTCTACATAAAAATAAAAACCGATTCAATACATCGTAATATTCATTTAGTAAATCATCAATTGAACGTTCAATAGCATTCATTCCTAACAAAAGATTGTTTTCCATTAAATAAAAAAAACTTATATTTCAGAATTAACTGAAATAATTTTATTAAATCGATTTTTTTTTCTTCGTAGAGCCATAGAGTTCTTAATTGACCAATTAATCCAACATTTATCCATATGAGTATAACAAAAGTATACCTTCTTAATGTATGGGTTTTTTATTTACCTATTAATTACGAAAATTATCATTCAATTTTTTATAACTCTTCCTTTAATTGTTCTTTAACTGTTCTTACTATTCTTCCGACATATAAATAAACTTATCTAGGATAATATTTTTAAACATTAAGGATATTAAATTATCTTTAATGCAAATTATTAAAAAGCGCTTCTTTTAGATTTTTTTTGCTGAATAGTATAAAATACGACAAATTAAATGAATAAATATCTATATATTAAAACAAGTATTTGAACCAATTTAATTGACAAAAAATTTTTACTATTTGAGATGATTTTCCCTTTTCGTAGGGATATAAAAAATTCGATCTGTAAATCCATTATCAAAGTAGAAAAATTGTTCTTTGGTCAGCCGTAGTGTTTGATGTACCGGGTGTTATGCATGTATATGTTGGTTGATTTACTGCTGACGTCAGCCAGAATACAGAGCCAGTTGGAAATTTATGAATAAGCGTTGCTGCACTTCCACGTAATGACGTTTTTTTTACATACAAACGTCTATACTTAAAAGTCATTCTAGAAAGTTTTATCTATTAGATAATATCTTAGCTATAATGAGTAAAAGAGAATTTTATAAAGAGCATGATGATGTCATACTTACTTTGATTAAACTTTTATTGTCATGCTAAAAATTCACATAACTTTTATAACAACTTATTACTAATATGCAATTATTATAAAGCAAGTTATTATACATATGTAAAAGTTAATAAATCATCAAAAGAAATAAAATAATCTTAAAAGAAATATTTAATCATTAATTATAAGAATAATTTTTTATGAGAAAAACATTTATAAATTTTTCATAGAAATTTTTTTTAACAATTCAGAATGAATCAAAAACTCTTTAATCTCGAATTGTATTGATTTATAAGAAAAAAAATTTTTTCAACCCTTTTAGTTACGCTTTTACATTAGCAATAATTTAAAAATTTTATTTTTGTTCAAGCTCTACTTATAATTCAAGTATTATAGATAGTAGAAAAAAAAATGTAAAACTCACCGAAAAATACTTTATACACTTAACATCGATAAATATTTAAATTTTGAATGAAATAGAAAAATTATATTTCACATACAGAAAACAAATGTAAACTCCTTATAAAAAGAACATATACACGACTTTAAATAAAAATTGATATTGGGTTATATTACCAAAAAGAGAATTTTTATTTAGGGAAAATTGGGGTAAAGTGTAACACCTTGAAAGAACGTAAATCAACCAATTAACTATTATATTAACAAATGTTAATAATTTTAAATCCATTAATGAATTGAAAAATCAATAAACAAAAAGTGCAATTGGCGTTTTTAAACTTATTTAAATAATTATTAAAATAAGGAAGGAAGGATACAGTGAAACGTTCAAAAAAATGTACTAATTTAAATTGTACCCTTCTTTCCCCTACACTTTTATAATTTGAACATTTGAAAATATATTGAATTCAGATTATACTTTGTTTTCAAGCAGACACAAATTATTAATGCACTGGTGATTATACTGTGGACTAATAGCTTAATTTTATTTGAAATAAATTTTTAAAATATTTTCTCTCTGTTAAAGTTCATCAAGATCATGATCACTACAGTGAACTACAGCTCAGTAATGCAAAAGATCTAATAAATGTTTAAAAAAAACTAATATTGTATTAATAATCATTTTATGTAGTCTTGTGAAGATCAGTACTTTCTGAAAAAAAACTTTGATAAAAAGTTAATTCAATCTATTGATTCCTTCTAGAGATAAGTGATACAACAACTGGTGTGTGAGTTGATCAATGATACAGAAGCATGTGATTGACTAGCTGATATTGGTAAGCTCATTGATGCACAACACGTTTGAATGATTTAATACGTATATTGCTACTGGAATATTGTTTCAGTTAAATATATCATGGCAGAGAAATAAACAGTTACATTCATGATTGACTGATTTTCGTTAAATTTAATGTTAATATGCCCTGAGGACCAATTATTCTAGTATTACTTTAACCAATTTTCTTACAATCAATAAATTTTCAAATAAAAATTAATCTTTCGATGTTGTTATTTTTGTTTGCAGTTGATGTAAATAGACATGAAAGATACAACGTGTTCCTAATGACACAACGACATGTGGAGTGAATGAAATGAAAACGATACCATCGGGATTTAGCAAAAATTCAACCGTAGTAAAAATTAATCTTGAAATACGTGAAAGAAAATTTAAAGATTCAACGGAACAAAAGTGGGAACGTTGGAGACGACAGAAAAACTTCTGGGGTCTCGAGAGACGAAAGAAGAAGGTTAGAAAACTGGACACACAACTCCATCGGAAAATTAACCAAGATGGTAACATGAGAGTTGAAAAAATAGCACCCAAAGAAAGTAGTAGATAATAATAAGAAAGGCAAGAAGCCGACAAACGGTTTAGAAAAAATTAAGTTAGTAAACAATGGACTTAGATCCGGTATTGGTGAATTTCACTGATTCACCAGAAAATATTTTTACTGGCACAGAAATCTTCACCATTTCTAGTGAAAAGACTAATATCACGCTTGAGTGTAATGCAGAACTTAATGACGGTGCTCTATTTGAGTTTATTACAAATGGAATTTTCTTGAATGTAGTCGGCCTCTTTGGTTTATTCGGCAACATCATTTCCATGATTATCCTCTCTAGACCACAGATGAAATCTTCAATAAATTACCTCCTCATTGGTCTGGCTCGTTGTGATACAGTGTTGATCATTACTGCAGTAAGTACTTTGTAAAAAGAGTTATCACTTTTTATTTTAACTCAATTTAAGTGAATAGTTTAACTTTTATGGTATTGATATATAGGATTTAAATTAATCCTAGGGTAGATAAAAGTGTTTTAGTGAGAATGAGCATATATACATTTACGTTATTGTTGGAAACACGTCAATTCCTAACTCCTTGTTTCCAGAATTCAGTATAAGACAATTTCATGCAAATTTAATCCCTATATATGTATGTTCTATATAATTCCTAGATGTTAAATTACTACGGAAATTTAGATCCTATTAAAATTAGGATTGTTATTAAGTGCTTTGACAAAAATTCAAGTCAATATTTACAAAGTTTTCTTAGAAAGTATACACTGTAAATCGAAGGTGTATTGAGGACGTATGTCTAGTCAAATCCCGCAGTACATCTAAAAAATTTTTAAATAGGTTTAAATAAAAGTCTCCATATAACTACTATCAACATTGCATTTAACATATCGGACCACCCATTATTCCATTTTTCCAAAGTTTTTATCTAATTTAAGAAAAATAAATCTGGTAACACCTATTTTTTGCATAAATAAATAGAAAAAAGTTCAAAGCTCAATTTCATACACTTCCGGTATAAGTAAATAACACGTAGTTTAATGAGATCTATTTCAAAAGTGTCACTATTTTTTACATAATTGATTGTGATTCATCAACAAATAAACTTTTTAAAATTTTTTTTTTTAATCGAGAGCTACATGCATGTCAAGTGTATGAAATAGCTTGACATTTATTAACTGTTATGACGTTTTAAGATAAAAAAAACATGTACTACGACAAATTCTATCAAATTTGCATTTTATATTTTTAACTGTATAAATAGAGTATAGATAGGTAAAGAGTATAGGGGTGTCTCTGAATGTCTGCATTACCAACTTTCTAATATAAAAATACAAGAAAATATTGATGATTTCATAAATATAAATAATAATGAAGAAAAAAATATCGATTTTTTTGGTATTCGAGTATTTAATTTATTCTAACATAAAACACATCACAGAATAAAACTTTTCTATAAAAACTGATAAGGCAACTAAAAAACACTATTTTATTTGGCTGACATGTCAAAGTGATTTGATCATTTGTTTCTGCGTTATGAGTTTTTGAAAATGAAAACAACTATTTCTCCTTTGACTTTTCATAACTCATACTATCAATATTTCGTTAAATATTACCTTTAACTACATATGATAATTCTAAAGTTTTCCAAAAAGGTATTATACACTTTTAGTTTTAGTGATGGGATAAACAAAATAAGTAATGGTTTTAAACCTAAAAAAAAAACCTTAAGCTTCAAACTACTATTTTTGTTTTGACTGATGTCTAGTCTTTATCCCTTTAGTTTATGTATCAATTCTGACATTAAACTTAAAATGTAAGTTGCAATTTTTCAGGTATGCTTATTGTTAAAATAAAAAAATTTATTTGAACTTAAGTTCAAATATATATTCAAGTCTAGACTTAAATAAATATTAAATTAAAAAAAATTAAAAGTCTTTACTAAATTTGGACCAACTCTTGTCTAGTCATAAATTATTAACAATTAATTGAAAAATAAAAGTAAGTTTCTAATTTCTCACTACATAATCATCGTATTTGATGTCAAAAGAAAAATGGAAAACTTAAGTTTGAAAAAGATTGAAAAAGACTCAATGTGTCAAATATATTCGACTAAAACAAAATTTAAATTTTCAAACTTTAAGGAAAAATTCAGCAACTTCAAGGTTTAAAAAACTATAATATCAATATAATGTAATATAATAAGTTGTGTAGGAATAATGAAAAATAATGGCTTTTACCCGAGTAAAAATAAATAGGCCCAAAAGAAGCCCAATACAGGCCCGATTGAAGCCCAATCTTGACTTAGAGAAATTTTCAGTGCCCAAAACAAACCCATTGCAGGCCTAAATTTTGAAAGCCCCCAATTCGAGCCCAAAACTATTTTGCAGGCCTAAAACACGCCCAATTCAAGCCCATTTTCTATGATCATATTCGACAATGATGACAATAAATTATTACAAATGTAAATTTGTAGCACCGAAAGTTAATTTGATGATGAGTTTTTATGACAATTTTTTTTCTTTTCTAGATTTTTAAAATATCTTTGGGCTTGGATTGGTCATGTTTTAGGCATGCAAAATAGTCTTAGACTTGATTTGGACGCGTTGAGAGCCTGAAAAATCATTTGGGCTCGAATTGGGTGTCCTTTAGGTGCGCCCAAAAACTGATCATTTTTTCTCGGGATAAACATAAATAATAACTTATCAATAATAAGGAAGCAAGTATTTTTTCATTCAAAATTAGACAAATATCCTTTTTTAATTCAATGAATGCTATAGAAAGTTTAAACTTAATTTTCTAAAAGTTAATGTATATTTAATTGTTTTTATCATTATGCGTAAATTGAGGTATCGTAGTTAATGCATAACAAGTTGCTTTTTTTATATGTTTATATATTTTACATCAATTATTAAAAAATTTATTTATGATTATGTATCCCATTCTAAAATAAATAAGACAATAATTTTTATTTGAAAAATGAAATTTATACTAAACAAAATTATTATTTGATTTTTTTAAATTTAATAAAATTTCTACACAAAGTAGCAAGCTAGAATTTCAGACAAAAATCCATTTATTTTCGGTGAGAGCCAGCACACAAAAGCGTACATATGTTTGCGCACAATAACTCAATATATGATATCGCAGTAATACTAACGGAATGAAAAAAAAATGTGTGACTATTATTTTTTCTCCATAAAAAATCACAAATATTACGTCACAATACATGCAGATTGTGGATTCATTTTTTTAAGGAATTTTTTTTCAGAGGTTTATTATCATTTAAGCGAAAAAATAATAAAATAAATGATAAAAAATTTTTAAATATTTTTCATCAGTTCCGTTAAAGAACTAAAATATCAGCTATAAGATTTCATATTTTGATAATATTTTCAAAAATAATCTCTTTGTAAACCAAAAAAACCATGCAATCAGGAATTTAGACTACATAATCTGTTTTCAATATTTTCGTTAAAAAATGTTTTTTACTAAAGTTATTAGTATCTAAAATATGCAGAAATAAAAATAAAAATAAAAGTAGAAAAAATATTTATTGATTACATCAAAATGTTTTAAGAATAATTTAGTCATTAAAATTTCATAAGAACCGATAACTTTGTATTCTAAAAAAATGTCAGTGCCACTAAATCAATAAGGATTATATCTATATATATTTTATTTTTTTCTAGAATAGGCATATGTTATATACATTTTTAACTTCTCAGTAGAAAGTTATTGTAATGGGTTCGATTTTACGAATCCCGAATCTTGACACATCTCCACGTTTTAAGACCCCCAGAGTCGAATGCGACCGACGCATAATGACGAAACTCAGAACTGATTAGGTTTTTAGCAAAATCGGTTTAGCCATTTTTTTGCTGAACACTAATGTACGAAGTTAGTCTAACATTTTAATACCTCCCCCCTCTGCTCCTTTCAATTATCAATTTTCATATAACCATAAACAGGAGTCGTTAAATTCTATTAAAATGTTATATGGAAATTAATAATTGAAAGGGACGGGAGGAGGGTATTAAAACTTAGACTAATTTTTCAAATTTTTCCTATTCGTGTCCCTTTTTCTTTCCTATCTACGATTAATTTAAATATAACAATCACTGAAGAATCATCGCGATTATTACATTCTTCGAACTTAAAAAAGTACCTCAAGTTGCTTGTTAGCAATATAATCAAAGTATAATTAAGACTAAATATTTCGACTCAAGACAAAATTAAGAATATTTTTACAATGAGAATTTTACCCCAAGTTTTAAGTTACAGAGACGTTGAAAAGTCTCGATAGTCTATTCAAAAAACAAGATAATTATTAGAAAAATCAAATAGCTTTGAGGTATACAGGTTACTTTAGTATACTTTGAATTAATCATGGAAATGTGCATGGAGAATCATTGGCCATTAGGGTGCTAAAAAATATCATTGTGGCAGTTCTAAGCTATCAAGCAGGGCAATTGCATAATAATAGTGTACTTAAAGAGACAAAATTTACTTAAAATTCATTTATACTCATGGAAATATTCTTCGAGTATAGTAAAAGTATAATAACATTTCAAAGAGCGTGTCAAGTGCTGTGATGAAAATTACTCACAATTTAAATATTTTTGGCCATAGTTGTCGGATAAGAAATATCTCGTCTTTGTTTGAATTAGTTTGAAAAAAGACTTAACTTGTGTCAACTATCTAGCGTATAGTCCAAGTTTCCGAACCACTGATACAAGTAGTCGAAACTACTACGCGTAAGTTGTGTATTCCTTATGTCACAAAAAAGACGATAGAAAAGTACACATAGTTTCTACCTATCTGATGTCAAAATAGCATTTACTTTCTCAACTTGATAGAAGAGATACTATCCTCGAGATAAAATTCTCAATTATGTATAAAAATATTTCTAAAAAAGTAATAATGAATTTTCGCACAATAAAAACATGAAATTTCAATTACTTCGAATCCACAAACATAAGATGGTATTTCAATGTATCCTGAAAATATCTTTTCTACTCTTTCAACTTTAATTCAACTCTAATTCAACTCTAATCTCTCAATTCCCCTCATGACATCTATGGTCAGATAAGTTTATTAATTAAAAAAGACATCTAGGTCTGTTTAAATACAGATACTTTCGTGATTTATTTTATTAAATATTTACAAAAATTAGGAAAAGTATTTTCCAAGGATTTTCTACTGGCTTGTTGAACAAAGTTTTGTTAGTGCATGCTGTGAATTAGAAAACCTCTGCTCAACTGAAATTCATATTAACAAAACTGAACTTATTGTTAACTCAAGTTTGTTCGAGTGTACACGTTGATTATATATTTATAGTTAAATATAATAAAATTAAAATTGCATTATTGAAGAGAAAAAAAATTGCCGAAATTTCGGATAAATGTATACGAAGACAAAAATGTTTTTTACAGTCATATGGTTACATTAGACTAGATTAAAATTTTGAAGGGCTTCAATCATAGATCCATTAGAAACATTGAATAATTAATTTTTTCAACACATTACCTACTAAAAAAATGAAACTGTATTTTTAGATAAATGAAAAATGTCAATATTAATTTTTACAACAATGAAAAGAATTCAGGTGTTAAAAAACGATATATTTTAGAAATTTTGCATTAATAATCATTTATAAATCATCTATTTCAAATGTAAATTTTTTTATCACATACTTTGGACAAATTTTTTTCCAAAACAATCTATCATTTATTTTACAGATTTATATACAAGTCAAAATTTGATTAACTATCAAAACTTTATATTATTTAAATTATTGAATGAATCATTTATTAAAAAATGTATTTTTTTTTAACAAAAATTCATTAAACTAAGTAAAATAAAAAAGAATCAAAATAACAGAGAAGAAAATAGGATTGTGATCCGTTTAGTAATATGGTCCATTCGTATTAAAAAATAAAATTATTGAGAATAAACAGAAAATTCGAAAAGTGATGATTAGAGACGATGTAATTGAAAAATATATCATTTTGTAAAAACAACAAGTGATTAATAATTTTACATTTTACTCTAAAAAACAAATATAAAAGTTGGTTTCAAGAATTAGTTAAAATTAATATAGAAATTCTATAATTTCTGATAAAGTCAAAGTTCAAACGACAAAAATAGTCATAGCTACAAAGTCTTAATAATGACCGTTAAATTGAGTTATTTGATATTGTGTATACTATAAATCCAAGTGCATTCTTGTTATACATCTAAACGTGTTAAATATGACGTCACCCATTCGATCAATAATGTAGTAACTTTTTACACACTTAGAAACGCATTAAAAGTGTATATTTAACAAGCATATTTAACACATTTAGATGTATAACAAGAATGCACTTGGATTTATAGTGTACTTTATAATATTATGTTGAAAACAAAGAAAATTGTCAGACTTTGTCTGAGATAAAATTATTTAGAGAATCCGATAATAAGAGATATGTTTAAATGTTGGTATGGAAAAGTGGATTTATTTATGAAACAAAGACAGAAAAGTTGCCTTTATTAACAATTTTTCAAACGTATTACAAATTTAGTCATTCTAGGTCATCGATTTATATTATTTAACCATTAATACTTTACTATTTATCGAAAATCGTTCCCTTATTTTGGGATAAAAGAATTTTTCATCACAAAATCAATATTCATCTCCTTAAAAGCTCAAAAACAATAGCAACTGGCTGGCTACACATGACCTATATTTAAACTTTCGTAAGTTATAATTCGACATTCATTTTTATACTTTTCATTGAAGGGTTTTTAATGAAGGGGCCGCACTTTCCTTTTTTTTAACAACATTTCAGTTGTCACAGAGCATAAGACTAAAAAATAACAATGAAAATTAAGAGTTAAAAGAAGAAAAATACTTTGAAGCATCGAAAATCCCCCAATTTATTTGATTCCTTTTTTTTGCTGATGCGTTGAGGAGAAAGCCTTGAACAGAAAGCGTTAGTGACGTAATTTATCTCTGACAAATGTAAGTGATTATACAATAAAAACTATTCCAGCTGCTGTAAGGTATTTTAATATAAAGTACGTAATCATTTTGGAAAAATAAATTGATATATTATGAATCATCAAAGACTGACGTTGATTCTAAAAGTATAAAAGTTCTTAATAAAATGGTGATATTTTAATGAAAATGCAATACTAATCCATTGCATTTTAATTTAAGTTATGCAATGAGACTGTGTTAATTGGTTGACTTACCCACGGCTAAATTACATCTGTTTTACACTCGGTTTATGTATAGAAGTTTCTTTAATTAAATTATGCTAATTATTTTCATAATCATCTGAAAATTTAACATAATTCAGCAATCCTGATAATGATGATACAGATTACTAGATATTTACTACTTATTTATTCACGGAGATAATTTTTTTACTAAATTTAAGTTCAAAAAGTGAATTTTGAGTTGTCGTAAATAATTATTTTACTAAAACACCTTTTAAGTATAAAGTTAACTTACAAGCACTCAAAATTTATTATCGAATAGAAATATTTTTACTTCTAAACTATGAAACGTGGACTTGTCACTTTTTATACTTACATTTAATTAAAAAAATTTCTCCGTGTACTTTGATAGAAGTTGAGATATACAATGATAGTTTACTATACGAAAAAACTAGTGGCATTCAAAACGTATTGATGTCAAGATGGTCTGATGAGAAGTTTAAACTTTTTTTTTGTATTTCGATTACATTTTTTACAGTATACGGTTTTTTCTTACCAACCTGCTTTATGAATATTTTATCTGACGAGACGTCTCAAAAATTAAGTAGACCATACCCGGAACGCCAAATTAGGGTCAGATTTTAATTACTACTGAGAAATACATTACTACAAATATTTATTGGTGACACTTACAAATATAAAAATAGATGAAATTTAGAGTAAAACATTCTTTTGAAAATAAGGAATTTCGTTGAAATTGATAATTTTTACAAATTTCATTTTTTACATTATTTCATGAAAAAAAAGTTGTTGAATATAATTATTTTATTTTTATAAGAAAAGACTAATTGACATTTTCAAATCATTATTAATTTATAAATATTTTTATTACAGGTTTTGATCCATGGATTGCCAGCAATATATGCATATACAGGGCTTTTGTTTAATTATAAATTTAAAACTTTTCCTCGCATCGTTAGATATTTATATCCTCTTTCTTGCATGGCTCAAATGGTCACGGTCTACTTGACGTTAACAGTGACTATGGAAAGATATGTCGCTGTTTGCCACCCACTCAAAGCAAGATCTTTCTGCACTTATGGTCGAGCGAGACTTGCAGTACTTTGTATTGTCATTGTTTCAGCTCTTTATAATTTACCTAAGTAAGATTTAAAAATTTATAAAAAATAGTTGGTATTTATTTAGCTTAGGTTGCATACATCCGATTTCCTTAAAATTTAGTATGATGTAAAGAAAATTATGCCGAATATTACTTTCAGTTACAGTAATTAAAATTTTCAGATTTAACGATTTAATTGAAATGCTATTTATCTTCTAAAATGATTAAACTATTTTGAGTCTGAAAAAAAATTTTACAATTCAAAATAATAGTAAAACAAAAAATTAAGGTTACGCATACTTTAATATTTATTGACTTGTAAATTTTACTTGTTTTATTAAAATATTTTAATGTAGTTTATTTAATTAAAATTAATTTGTTCTATCATAATTTCAGTGTTAATGCATCGAAAACCTCTCAAAGTAGAAATATACGACATTGTTTTAATATTTAACAACGGAGCGTACCAGAATATATTGATTTTAAAATTTTACGTATCGTGTTTCTATGTTTATTGTTTTCTCTAAAATTGGTAAATCTAGTTATCGTTTTATGAATTATTTTTTAAGTCATTGTTATCGACAAATAATTTGAATTACAATTAACTAAATATACTATTACAAATGTTTTTTAATAAAAATTATTGTTATTAGTAAATGATAATTAGTAAGGTAATTTCACAAGGAAATACTCTTTAAAAATGTCAATGAAGTTTTAGCAGTTTATATAATAATAATTCTTAAATATATTAAATCAATTGTTGAATTCGTTAGTATGAAGAATATAAATAAATTTTAAATTTTTGTAGTGTGTCATATAACAACTTTATCTGTTTCCAGGTTTTGGGAAGTAGATATAGATGAGGAGATTCACTGGAAATATAATGTAACTGTCTACTGTGTTGTGCCTGCAATTCTCCGATCCAGTGATCTCTACATAACGATTTACGTTAACTGGATGTATTTTTTTGTCTATTATGCTTTTCCTTTCGTGGCTCTGGTTGTTTTCAACGTTGCTATTTACCGAAGAGTAAGTGATTGAATGTGAATCATCAAAATGCTTTCCTTTCTACCCGACCATTATTCTATCTCTTCTACTAATAAAATAGAATACTGATTCTAAAGCAATGCAAAAAATAACTGAATACATTTTAAATAATTAATTTAATTTTTGCAAATTAATGCAATATGAAATCGAATTTTTACT